TCCGCATCTGTTATACTCCTCAGAGGGACAAAAGGACATGGCGGATGAGCTACAGTCTGATAATATAAAATAAGTAAATGTGAATAGCAGTAATAGTCTGTAACCTTTGCTGGGAAGTTCCCCCAAAACAAGATTTGCCAGAATAAGCTCTGCCTCACTCCAAAATTCAAAGTGTCTGTGTGTCCTGATCAAGGACAATAAACAGCCAGGCTTGCCCAATACCAGCTTCCACTGGCAAATGCTATCTCTCAGGCCTGGGCTTCACTCAAGTGTTTCCCCACAACCTAATTGGCTGCCAGTTAATATGAGGTAGTTGACACAAATATAAAGGGTAACATAAACACTGCTCAAATGTTTGTTCCAGGCTCCTGGTTTACTGAATAAACCTCTAGCATAGACATAACCTCAGTGTACTCTCCACTGCACCTGCCAGCCCAGCTGCCTCCTCCTGGAGCTGCTTTTGAGGAAGGAAGAGGACTGAGGCCATGCACATTCACCCTGAAGATCCTGCCACCTTCAGAAAGCAGGTGACCCAGCAACTAGATAATCAAAAATTGTGGCATGTGCAAAAGAATGGGTTGGTCATAGAGTAAAAGAGTCAGGAAACGATGTGAGGAGAAACGTCAATGTAATGAAAGAGGAACATTGCGAAACAAACAAACCACTTGTACTGTATTCCTGGTGGAGTTCACATCTGTTATTTCTGGAATTAGATGTTGCAAGAGAAGAGGTCGGGAGTGCAACAGGGAGGGGTTATAAAGGAAGGTTAGTCTTCATTTGCTGAGGACAGGATCCAGAGAAGAGCAGAACTGCATGTAAGCAGTTATAAGTGCTGGGCGTACTTTATCAAGCACCAACATGACTTTACTGAGAGGTATCATCATTCAGATACTATTGGCTTTCTATGCTAAGTGACAAGGTAAGATGCAAATCGAATTAAAGGATCCTCAGCTCCATTTTGCAAGGGTAAAACAGTGACTCATGGAACAGGGTAAATAGGGGATTAGTGACAAATGGAGGAGAGTGAATGAGAACCATTGCAGATGGAGGGTTAGTTATGGAGCCTTACTTTTGTGGTGTTCTAGAGACTATTCCCATGTGTCTACTGCCTAACGAAACAAGGCTGAATGAGTCCGGGGGAAGTCCCGGATGACTGGAAAAAGGCTAATGTAGTGCCCATCTTTAAAAAAGGGAAGAAGGAGGATCCTGGGAACTACAGGCCAGTCAGCCTCACCTCAGTCCCCGGAAAAATCATGGAGCAGGTCCTCAAGGAATCAATCCTGAAGCACTTACACGAGAGGAAAGTGATCAGGAACAGTCAGCATGGATTCACCAAGGGAAGGTCATGACTGACTTATCTAATCGCCTTCTATGATGAGATTACTGGTTCTGTAGATGAAGGGAAAGCAGTGGATGTATTGTTTCTTGATTTTAGCAAAGCGTTTGACACGGTCTCCCACAGTATTCTTGTCAGCAAGTTAAAGAAGTATGGGCTGGATGAATGCACTATAAGGTGGGTAGAAAGTTGGCTAGATTGTCGGGCTCAACAGGTAGTGATCAATGGCTCCATGTCTGGATGGCAGCCGGTATCAAGTGGAGTGCCCCAAGGGTCGGTCCTGGGGCCGGTTTTGTTCAATATCTTCATAAATGATCTGGAGGATGGTGTGGATTGCACTCTCAGCAAATCTGCGGATGATACTAAACTAGGAGGAGTGGTAGATTCGGTGGCAGGTAGGGATAGGATACAGAAGGACCTAGACAAATTGGAGGATTGGGCCAAGAGAAATCTGATGAGGTTCAACAAGGATAAGTGCAGGCTCCTGCACTTAGGATGGAAGAATCCAATGCACCGCTACAGACTAGGGACGTAATGGCTAGGCAGCAGTTCTGCAGAAAAGGACCTAGGGGTGACAGTGGACGAGAAGCTGGATATGAGTCAGCAGTGTGCCCTTGTTGCCAAGAAGGCCAATGGCATTTTGGGATGTATAAGTAGGGGCATAGCGAGCAGATTGAGGGACGTGATCGTTCCCCTCTGTTCGACATTGGTGAGGCCTCATCTGGAGTAGTGTGTCCAGTTTTGGGCCCCACACTACAAGAAGGATGTGGAAAAATTGGAGAGAGTCCAGCGAAGGGCAACAAAAATGATTAGAGGTCTGGAACTCATGACTTATGAGGAGAGGCTGATGGAACTGGGATTGTTTAGTCTGCAGAAGAGAAGAATGAGGGGGGATTTGAAAGCTGCTTTCAACTACCTGATAGGTGGTTCCAAAGAGCATGGTTCTAGACTATTCTCAGTGGTAGAAGATGACAGGACAAGGAGTCTCAAGTTGCAGTGGGGGAGGTTTAGGTTGGATATTAGGAAAAACTTTTTTCACTAGGAGGGTGGTGAAACACCTGAATGCGTTACCTAGGGAGGTGGTAGAATCTCCTTCCTTAGAAGTTTTTAAGGTCAGGCTTGACAAAGCCCTGGCTGGGATGATTTAATTGGAGATTGGTCCTGCTTTGAGCAGGGGGTTGGACTAGATGACCTCCTGAGGTCCCTTCCAACCCTGATATTCTATGATTCTATGAGTCTCTCAAAATACTCCAGAGGAATTCAGAGTGCGAAAGTATATGAGTATTCCTAGTAGCTCTCTGTGTGTTATCACTGTAATCCTGGCAGCTGGTGAAATTTACTAAGGTACTCACATATCTGTTTCCTGTTTGTCTCCATAGTTATTTTTGCCACATTAAATGAATTATGAATTCAACAGGTTTCATGTTTGTTTAGCAATTGTTTTTATTTCGTATCACTCCAAAAGTAATATTGTGCTGATTGTAGAAAAATTCTGGTGTATGGGCCTAATATATAGATAATATGGGGATAAATAGTGCATTGAGCTCTATAGAGAAGGGGGCATTTTAATCTTTGACACTAGACCTTCTGAGTCCTTTCCCATCACATCATTCAGTGAACTAGGACATAGAGAGATGACTTTGGTACACTAAGGGGTCATTTGAACCATAACTATTAATGTAGGACAGGCTGGTTTTGCTCAAATAATCCATGGTAACTGAGCTACTCAGCAGTTCAATGTATTACGTTCTGGAAGATGTGCACTTCCTCAGGCAGGCATATCTAGATAACTGGATTCCACGTACACTAAAATCTGCACAGAAAATGACATGAGGTGCCAGTACACTGCGCTGTTATCAATTGTTTTGTTGTCTCAGTTAAGTGTTTTGTACATTAGCAGACATTAATTCCTCAGTAAGACTCAAGAGTTTGTAGAGCTTGAGGTTTTAGATCTGAACTGGTTTTGATTTATCAAAACCTTAAATTTGTTAATGAAGTAACTTCTTTTTTCCTAATGAATGAAATGAAAAATGGTTGATCAGACGCTGGTCAAAATTCCCCCCAAAATTTTACTTTTGGACTGACAAAGAACATGAGAAACTTCAGCCCCAGTAAATGCTTTGAATGAAAGAATTGTCTCAGCCATAACCCTGGCATTGGTAAGAAAGTGCTACACTAAATTAATACTAAGTTTTATTTACATGAACATTACAATGTTCGTGTTCATAGGAAAATATTAGCACTGACAAACAATAAATCCTGATATTGATATATTAATTCAGTAAAAAGTATGAGCGGCTACAAGAGTTGTGAATGCTTGAATCAATATATGGCAATCTCTGCTTTATTGTCATTGATTTCTTATTTGTAACAGTTTTCTTTACATTCAAAGGGTCAAAGCAGAAGGCTAAAGGTAAAGGCCCTGCTCATGTGAGCAGACCCACACAAAGGGATGACTTTTACAAGCAGAGATTACTCGCATAAGTAAGGGTGCTAGACAGGCTTTTAATTAAGAGGGGCAACATAGGGGGTGACAAATACAAGTAGGGGAGGACAAAGGTGACAACAGGGTCATCATTTAGTGGCTTAGGTGAGTGATTCACGCATCTGAAGTTTACATGATTTTCTAAAAAAAGATTTATATCTGTGGACTGAGAATGTCAAAGTCCCCTTAAGAATTTAGATGCATAATAGTCATTGAAAATAATAGTAGTACTCCATCTTCTAGGCACCTTTGAATATCTCTGCCATAGTCTGATTAGTTAACATTTCTCCAGACCTCAGAATTTTTCATTCACTGGATCTAGATTTCCCAGAATTTGTGGGTGTTGGATCCAGTATAATTGGGGGATTTCTTTTTCTAAAAGACTAAATAAAATGGTAGTTGGGAACACTGGTGAATTGATCTCTAGTCTCCAAGTACATATGTAGGTTTTATGGGCCTAATGTATCTAAAATCAAATATAGAAATCTTTTAAAATAAGCCAGATGGTAGCTATTAGTAACATTTTATATATATAATAATTGAGAGGGCATGTTCAATCTTAATTGACAAGACAGAAGCAGAATCTGCCATGATGGGCTCATTATAAATGCTTAGGTAGACTAGTTTAGATTAGACAGAATTGTTTTCAATTCAGACTCAGCAGTTTTATTCAAATTTGGGCAGGGAGGGTTCTGATATTTTGGACAATATTCAGACCCTCCAAATCTGAATGATATCAGATTTCAACATGAGCCTTTGCCCACTTCTCTCTGTAGGACTCCTTCCCCTCTTCCAGAGCCCCAGGCCATATTTTAGACTTGCATGCATTGACCAGTGTGGATGTGATAAGATTACACAGGTCTTCACTGTTTATCATTTCAGTGGTAATGTCACCAACATGGAATGGGTTTCTAAGTAACAAAAAGTGGAAGCCCAACCTGCCTGTAAAATGATTTTTTTTTCTTTCAGTGATGGTTTGTTTATATAAAATAGAAAAAGAGGGAGAGATAACGGAGTCATATTTTAGCTCAAGCCAGTCTTTTGGAAATATTTATGCAATCTAAAATCTACCTGAGCTCTGCACTGCAAGCTGACAAAATAGTCTGAAACGCTTTTTCAGATGCTTAGATTCCCAATTTGCACCTATAATGAATAACACGGTGTGTTTGGTTTGTGTAGTGCCAGTATGTGAACAGCCGCCTGATGTTGATTTTGGAGAAATTATTAGTGGCGAGAAATCGCAATATGTGGAGAGCGACTCAGTGCAGTATGGCTGCTATCCTGGGTACACGCTGGCAGGATCTGAATGGATAACGTGTTATGGGAGAAACTGGATGCCACCGCCAAAATGTTTGGGTAAAGGGAAATTTGAGTCTATTTTATTCCTCACACCTTAGGTCTTGGTGAATTTTTGTTAATGTTTGTTAATGTATGTAGAACTCGATAGTTAATCAGAGTCCATAGGTGAGAAGAATCCTTCATTATTCCACCATTGCAGAAAAGCAGTTGGTTGCCGTCACTGTGGTTCCATGTTGTGGAGTCAGGGTGCATTCTGATGCAGGTATTTGACAAGGGAGAAAACAAGTAATGTATTAAATTTCCATCACTGGATTTTATAGCATTGTTTTCTCCAGTGGGTTCAATGTATTCTCCCTCAGTGTAGAGGTTGACATTATAATAACTGTGGTGTCACCTTCTTTCCTTATTCCTGGAACAGCTTTCCTCCAAATCCCTCCACAAACCCTCCTCTTGTGGGTTGGCTTCCCTTGCTCCCTGTAATCTATGCTCAGACATTCCTCATTCCAGCTCCCAAGAGAACAATTTGTAAATAGTAATTTTAAACATTTGGCAATTTAAGAAATATTAGAAAGCCTAAGAGGTTAATGTAACATGGCTAACTTTAAACCCCTGCTTGCCTCCCTGCATACATAGAATCATAGAATATCAGGGTTGGAAGGGACCTCAGGAGGTCATCTAGTCCAACCCCCTGCTCAAAGCAGGACCAATCCCCAATTTTTGCCCCAGATCCCTAAATAACCCCCTCAAGGATTGAACTCACAACCCTGGGTTTAGCAGGCCAATGCTCAAACCACTGAGCTATCCCTTTCCCCCATCTCCTAAGAAATTTAACCTTTTCCCCTTGTTTTGTGTATATCACACTGAGCCCCTAAAAGTAATATTCTTAGTCACAACTTTAACTCATGTGCCACATTTTCACTAGTACTATGAAACCTATTAAAAGTTATCCATTGAGAGACTGATAAAAATCAGTCAACACAAATGGTCTTCTGATAAAAAATGAAACAGAATTGTACTCAATACCCTTTGGGGTTCATAGGGATGGTCTCCTAATGAAAGTAATTGCTTAATAAAGGTGGTCACTTTGGAGAGGTTATTTGAATTTAGTTTTCTATTCTCCTCAGTGACTTCTCTGGTGACTCCAATTCCAACTATCGAATCAGCAACCATCTCCCTTTCACCATTGTTTGACAAGTTTAATTTGCAATTGAAATGCAATTAGACTCTGAGCCTAATCACCCAATGGAAACCGTTTTAGGCCCCATATCTAATGCATGAAATTTATTATGAGATTTAGTTAATAAATTATTCTTGACATTTGGCATAATCACTTTCTGCAGCCAGATCATAGAAGAGATTATTATTATGGTGAAAGATTAAAATAAATAGCTTTAATTGTGTGTAATCTGATCTGGAGTTTTGGAAATGATTAACTTAAAACTTTTTGGGGAATAATACATTGTTCTAATTTTTTCCTGTTTTCATTTAGCACCATGTACCATCACAAAACAGCAACTGGAGGACAAAACTGCTTCTGCCCAGTGGCTGCAGACGTACAATAATTATTCTAAATGATCAATTAGTGGAATTTTCCTGCAGAGAAGGCTATAACCCCACAGATCATTCAGCCAGGAAGTGAGTTGATGGACACATAGATTTTCCACTGTGTATCTCTGGTAAGTATGATAATTTGCAGACACTGTCTATATCTCACATGAAATGAGGGGAAGATAATGAAGAAAATCTCATCCAAAGTAGCCTTAAGGGTGAGCAAGCAATGATTGGGCATTCAGTATCCTTTTTTTTTTTTTTTTGGTTTTATTTGTTTTTTTGCTTAGCCACAGGAAAGAAATGTGGACGTCCACCTGATGTTGCTAATGGAGATATAACTACTTTTTCCCAAAAAGAGTATGCCTCAGGCTTTTCTGTGGAATACAAATGCCAAAAGTTTTATTCAGTGAAAGGGCAAAATAAACCTTTCTGTAACAATGGAAACTGGACAGAAACACCAATTTGTGAGGGTAACATGATGTTTTCTACAACAAAACCTATAGTTTTTTTTTCCAGTGTATCTAAGTATATCTGGTAGCAGGTAAATGTGTTTCACAGTTCAAATCATTTTTGTTACATTATTTTGTACCAATATTATGAACTGTATAATACAGAGATTTTACTGTTAGAAATCTAAATATTTTTTGATGAAAGTTCAAAATCTCCTGAGCTTCTTTTAGGAAATTATTGGAAAATGTATTTTCTTTACTATTTCAATGAAGTCCTTTTAAAGGAACATTCAATGAAATTTCAGGGCAGAAAATTCGCAATTGATAAAAGTAAATACTTTTTCACAGAGCACTTAATTAGATGGTGGAACTCATTGACATAGGAAGTGATTGAGGCCAGAAGTTAGCAAGACTCAAAAAGGAATTCAGTGTTTATATGGCCTACAAGAATATCCAGAATTATCATGATTAATAATGATAAAAATGTGGAAACAATATTCATTCATGTTTCAGGGTTAAAACAGTATGTAATTATTAGAGATCAAGCTGAGATCTAATATGAGGGGGTGGGGAGCAAATTATGCTATCTCTGCCTGCCTCAGGGTTCTTACACCCTCCTGTGATGCATCTGGTACAGGTCACTGGCTGAGATCTAATCTGGGAATCCCAGGTTCTTCACCAGACCATTTTTCTATTACTAACATCAAAACAAATTTGATTATTGGAAAAGCCAGGTAATATCTTGTTCAGTGTTTGTTCCTGACAATCCAGATACTTTTCCTCTCTCTCTGCCCCTGAATCACTCCACTGGACCTCAACCACAATAACTATACGTACATCATTAGACTTCTGTTTTTCTCATTCTAGAGCCATGTGTTATCTCTCAGGAAGAAATGCAAAACTGTGGCATAGAGCTGACTGAGACATACTATGGAAAACAATACGTACAACATGATGATTTTGTTGTGTTTAAGTGCAAATCAGGACATGTACCCCTGGCATTTTTATCTCCTGATTTTACTGTGTGGTGTCATTCAGGCAATATTGTGTATCCCCAGTGCAATAAACGTATGTATTCCTTAATTAAATTACTATTCCTTGGGATATTCTGAGCTGGGAGGAAAATGAGCAAACTTGAAACAAAAGACCAGTGCTTCATAGGTTTATATTTGTTAAATACAGGGAAAAAATGACATCACTATCAAATATGGAATGTACAGATGACACTTACGAAATGAATTACCTTGTTTTTATTTAGGAGGGCTTCATTGATCTAGTTGTTAGAAAACAAATATTTAATAGATCAGGGTATATAGCAGCATTAATTGCCCTGTTGCCTTGTTTGTCAGTACACATTGGAAAATTATTAGCCTTTAAAGGAGAAGTCAAATTAGATGCATTTATGATTAAATTGGCTCCCTTGCAAATACAGGTGTGGGTTTATGAACCTAGCAGAGGTGCTTCTCTATTCATTTATCATTATTGGAAAGAGTTGGTAAGACAGTGGATACATGGGACCAGAAAGCAGAATTTCCTTGGGTGGTTTTTTTAAGTGTTCTCAACAAGGTCCTTCACATCAGTCTATTAAGGGAAATAAATACTCAGAGTAAAGAATACAATTCTATATAAGTTAGAAACTTGCCAGGCAATGGGAAACTTGGTGTAATTCTTAGTGGGTTTGAGAGGATAGAAGGGCATTCAGGCACCTTTCTCTCTCTCTCCACATTCGGGGCCACAAGTGGGTAGTGGGGCCCCCCGCCGATCAACCCCCAATCTGCCCCCCAACACCGCCCCAAATTCCACCCCGTTCCCCCCCCTGAAGTGACCCCAACCCGGAAAAAGAAAAAAGACCCCACGGCCATTATTCAAACCCAACAATTCACCTAAACACCCCTTCCCCGCCTTGAGCCCCTGGGCCTCCGCACCCTTTACAGGGGCCGCCGGGGGTTCGTTCCTCCCTTAGCCCCCCCAAACCGGGTGAACCTTTCCGCAGGAAAACGATAGCCCCCTAAATATATCCAATACAAGCAAATTTCCCCTACGCGAACCGCCCCCTTGGGCCCGAGTGAAAAAACGCAAACCCCCATTTGGTTCGTACCCGCGACCCCCAAACTCCTTTCGCCCCTGAGTTGCCAAACCCCCCGTTCACTTGTCAAGCGGGGCCCAGCGGGTCCGCAAGGTTAACCGACCTCCCTGAACGCTTGTGCGCGGGGCCGGTCGCGTAATACCACCAGCCTAAGAGGTTGCCGTTCTTTGTTGCCCTTTGTGCCCGGGGCTCCTTGCCCACCTCTCCCGTTTCCATTTGCTCGGCTAACCCCCCTTCAATGGTCGGGCCCAGAACAAACCCGCGTCCCTAACCCGGGCCACAACTGGAAGGCCCAGGTCAAATCTCGCCCAGGGCCGCTCCCCCCGGTTTCCGGTGCGCCCGTTTCCAAGTCCGGGGGGGTGGCCTTGCTCAGTCCACCAAACTTTCCCCCGTTTGGACAGCCCCCCGTCAGGGGTACCCCCTGAACACCCCCCAGCGGGGCCGGTTGGCCCAGGTGCTCTGTCAGGGGCCCGCCCGCGCGCCCCCCGCCCACCCAAGTCAGGTTCCCCTTCCCCCCCCCCTTTCCTTCATCCCTCCCCCCCCGGTAAACGCAAACTTATCCGGAAAAGGGCTTGGGTCCCCGGTGGGGGGGGAGTCCCCCCCGTCCCCCCTGCTTCCTTAAGCCTGCCGGTTCCTACTTTGAGCCCCGTTTTCCCGTTTGCTTTTGCTCCGTAAGTTTTCCAGCAAGGGCAAAGGGTTCGGAGGGGTTCGTAGGTTGGTTACAAAGTCCAGAAGTAGTTCCGGAGAAGGGTAAACCCCCCAGTCACCAACGCACCCCTTACCCACCCAATACAAGTTCAAAGGGGAAAACCCTAAACGGGAGGGTACAGCCGTAGCAAAGCACGTTGCAACACAGGTCCCAATCGGGCCTTACAAATACACACCCCCAAGTTCCATTAAACTCTCCACCATGCCATTGTTTGAGGTGGTAGGAGTGGCAACCAAGTGATTTACCCCATGAGCTCCCAAAGGTTTTTCAGTTCCGCCAGGAAATTAGTCCCGCATCGTGAGGATGTCGGAGGGCCAACCTACCCTGGCAAAAGTCGCGTGCCTGGCCACCTTTTAGCCTGGTGTTGCTTAGACTACTGCTTCTGGCCATCGGGCAATCAGTCTTTTTTCTGTTTAGTTCTATAAGGGGGGGGTGGGGTTCCAAAACCAAAACCCATTACTTGCCTGTGCCAAGTTTCTTGATAAGTCTTTCATACAAAGAAGGGGGGGTAATCTTCTGTTTCGGTCGAATTCCTACCGGGGGTTCGAAAGGGGTGGAGTCTGGAATCATGTTGTCGACGTAGGTGGGGGCCTGGGTTGGAAGGGTCTGGTGTTGGTTGTTCGTTTTCTGGGAGTCTCGGCGGGTCCACAAATTGGGCTCGACGGAAGAAGTTTCAACAGGTTTAGCGTTCCACCCTCTTGTTTCGCCCAACGCGGGGGTATCAGCAAGTCTCCCCAGAAGAAGTTGGAGAAGCCTTTCGTTGTAAATGGGGCCAAGGAAGCATAGACATTGGCTCCACGTGACCCACCACAGTTTCCCAAGTATCTGGGAGGTTCTGGGGGATCTGGTGTGTTGTAATAACTATCGTTGGGGTTCTTGGGGCAGGCACGCCCCAGCTTAAAACCGGGGGTGGGGTAAGGGGTGGGGAAAGGGGTCTGGAGGGTTCTTTGGGAGGTAGGTGGGGTGCCCGTAATAGGGGTGGGGGGGGTCCCTTCCCCCAACCACATTGCCACCTCCACCCATCCCTCCGCTCCTTCCGCTATTTCTTTCTTCCCGCAGTCCGAGGAAGGGCAATACAGTTCAACCATTCGGGAAATGTTTTCCTGTCAACCGTCCATTCTGTTGGATTTAAAGTTCACTTGTTCTGTGTCTTTAGATTGCCTCAGTAAGGCCGGGTCACAATTGGTCAGAGAGTGTTGAAACTTAAGTTCAAGGGTTTCCTGTGTAGGTGGGGAATTCTGGGATGGGAAGGGTATGAAGGTTGAGGGTTTGTTGGTATATTGCTGCCTTTATCTCTCTACTCCTCCATTTCTCTTTTTCCTCTCCTCTCCATTTTCTCTTCCTTTCCTCCTCATCCTTCTCCATTTTCTTGGACTCACTTTCAGTGTCTTCTTTCATGTCCTTTGTTTTCCTCAGTAAATTTGCAATTAGTAGTCGGTAGGATTTGTCATTCTAACTCTCTGTTTTTACTACTTTACGGTTAGAAAAAAAAAAATTGTTAAAATTTTGTTGCAAAGAATACCTTTCTCTGATAGTGATTGCATACAAAAAGAAATTCCCTTTCTGTCGCCCAAATTAAACAAAAAACCCCAACTACTTGAAACCTCTTACAAAGAAAAGAATGGTAGAAAACCCTATTTACTTTTAGGAAGAAAAAAAAAAAAATCTGGGATGAAGATTCCTGCAAGTTAAATGCTCCACAAAAAAACCCAATTCAAGATAATCCCCTTTGTTCTGTTGCCACAAAGAAGAGAAAAATGTTTCAGTTTAAAGTGTTTCTGTTCTTTCAAAAAAAAAAAATTTCTTTTAAAATCTGTATTTCAGTTCAAAATCTCAACTCTCAAAGATTTCAGGTTAACCCACCACCCACCATCAAGGTTCCTCCCCCTCGAACTCTAGGGTACAGGGGGGACGCAAAAAACCCCTAAGCTTATCTTTACCACATCAAACCCCAAGGTACAAAATATTACCCTTATCCTTGGAAGTACCCCCCAAACAATTACTGGTTACTGGGGAAGAGTGTTTGGTCGTCCCCCAAAATACTCCAAAACCTTGCACCCCACTTCCTGGACAAGGTTTGGTAAAAAGCCTCCCAATTTGCCTAGGTGACTACACCAGACCCTTGGATCTTAAGAACAATGAACAATCCTCCCAACACTTGCACCCCCTTTCCTGGGAAATGTTGGATAAAAAGCCCCCAATTTGCATAGGTGACCACAGACCCAAACCCTTGGATCTGAGAAAATGAAAAAGCATTCAGTTTTTACAAGAAGACTTTTAATAAAAAATAGAAGTAAATAGAAATAAAGAAATCCCCCTGTAAAATCAGGATGGTAGATATCTTACAGGGTAATTAGATTAAAAAAAGAGACCCCTCTAGGCAAAACCTTAAGTTACAAAAAGATGCACAGAAGAAATAGTTATTCTATTCAGCACAATGCTTTTCTCAGCCATTTAAAGGAATCATAATCTAACACATACCTAGCTAGATTACTTACTAAAAGTTCTAAGACTCCATTCCTGTTCTGTCTCTGGCAAAGAGCAGGACACAGACAGACCCAAACCCTTTGTTCCTCTCCCTCGTCCCAGCTTTTGAAAGTATCTTGTCTCCTCATTGGTCATTTTGGTCAGGTGCCAGCGAGGTTACCTTTAGCTTCTTAACCCTTTACAGGTGAGAGGAGCTTTCCCCTTGCCAGGAGGGATTTCAAAGGGGTTTACCCTTCCCTTTATATTTATGACAGGGAGAAACAGCTCCTGCCATAACTGTAAGTAGCATAAGGACTGTTCTAAATTGTGCTGACAAGAGAAGTGCCATAGGGAACCTTCTACCAGCTGAGGACTAGGTGGAGTGCTGTGAATTACAGTCCTATACCTTTGATCCTGGGGCTGCCCATGACAAACCACTCAATCACACTTGGGGGAATCTTCACCATTCCCAGTTAGGGATAGTTTAAAGGTTTTTTTCATGTCATGCCAGTGGTGCGAAAAGACCTTAACCGGGGTCAAGGATGTGGTCTCTAGAGTTTAATTAGTGACAACTTAGAGTGGCAAGAACTTAAGTCAACTCAGGGCAAGCCTCTCAACATGCCATGCCCAAATGCAGGGCACAATGTATAACAAGGACCCCAAATGAGGGGGACAAACTTTTAATTTCTCCTAGGCTCACCCAGACTATGATATTAAATTGCTCTTTAATGCATATTAAGTAGCTCAGTGGAGAAGTGCTTATATCACAATAACCACTACCATATCTTGCACTGGAAACATCACTAGACAGATGTAAGCACCTCTCCACCTTCTTAGTCAGCCCAATGCAGAGCACATAGAAATAGTCTACCCAAGATACATGAACATGACTGAGCCTTGCTAAAGCATGGATCTCATGGTAGAATAACACTTCTCAGGAAGAGTAATTCCAATATTCTAGCCTTACCACCCTTCCTTCCATGTTATCTGTACAGAGAGAGAGGTAACTACTTGGAATCAGGAACTAAGAGACCTGGAAGAAAAGAAAATTGAGGCAAGTTAAACATTAATTTAAAAAAATAGCAAGATTGATCTTTTACTTTATTGAAGCCTCAGATTTTACAGGTATAGTTAGGGTAGGGAATAGTGCTACTAGAACTTCCACTTTAAGTAATTAGTACCCTAATATATTACTCTGTGTTTCAATGTTCTGTGTTTGTTTTAGATGTGTTAGGAAAGTGTGGCCCCCCACCTTCTAGTCAAAATGGAGACATCATTTCTGACCTATTGCCAGTGTATGCAGCAGGCTCTTCAGTGGAATACAAATGTCAAAGTTTTCATGGAATGACGGGATCCAAAATAATTACATGCCACTTAGGAAAATGGACAGCCCCACCAGTATGCTCAGGTACGTATAAAATGATTCTTGTGATATGAAAAAGAAACAGGACTTTGCTCTTGCTTTTTGGGAGGGGATGGGGTGGTACAAGTCTGGCAGAGACTAGTTGGCATATCCACCTCAGGCACAGAGCATAAACTCCAAGGGAGAACCCACAGACTAGTTTCTGTGAGTTGGGGAGGAAGAGCACAGTATGATAGAGCTGGTCAGAAATTTTCCCACAGATAAAACACTGATTCATCAAGCTTTTTGCAGAAACATTATTATTTTAATAAATCTCCATCGTTGCTTGGCTTTCATTCTATGCATCCTAACTCAAATGTTTTTACTAGTGTATAACCCTGTCAAGGTTCCTTCCCCACTCTGAACTCTAGGGTACAGATGTGGGGACCTGCATGAAAACCTCCTAAGCTTACTTTTACCAGCTTAGGTTAAAACTTCCCCAAGGTACAAACTATTTTACCCTTTGCCCTTGGACTTCCACTGCCACCACCAAACTTTATCTGGGTTCCTGAGAAAACATTGTTTGGAAACGTCTTTCCCCCCAAAATCCTCCCAACCCTTGCACCCCACTTCCTGGGGAAGGCTTGGTAAAAATCCTCACCAATTTGCATAGGTGACCACAGACCCAAACCGTTGGATCTTAGAACAATGAAAAAGCATTCAGTTTTCTTACAAGAAGACTTTTAATAGAAGTAAAGAATCACCTCTGTAAATCAGGATGGTAAATACCTTACAGGGTAATTAGATTCAAAACATAGAGAATCCCTCTAGGCAAAACCTTAAGTTACAAAAAAAAACACACAGACAGGAATATTCATTCTATTCAGCACAGCTATTTTCTCAGCCATTTAAAGAAATCATAATCTAACACATACCTAGCTAGATTACTTACTAAGTTCTAAGACTCCATTCCTGTTCTGTCCCTGGCAAAAGCATCACATGGACAGACGCAGACCCTTTGTTTTTCTCCCTCCTTCCAGCTTTTGAAAGTATCTTGTCTCCTCATTGGTCATTTTGGTCAGGTGCCAGCGAGGTTACCTTTAGCTTCTTAACCCTTTACAGGTGAAAGGATTTTTCCTCTGGCCAGGAGGGATTTTAAAGGTGATTACCCTTCCCTTTATATTTATGACAAACACTCTTCTTGCCTCACTGTAATTTAAAATGTTCTCATAAACTGGACTGGTTGATCACTAGAGAATCTGAATCAAAGTTACACACAACTAATGGAACACCATAAGTGATTTAATTAACCTGAGGTCCTTCATGGGAATGTGTCACTGACTCTAAATGTTCCTGTATCTCTTTTTCAGATATGAGATGTGCACCTCCACCAGAGATTTATGATGGTAGGATTCTAGGTGCTAAGCAGCAAAGATATTTGCCTGGTGACAGGATGCATTATCAATGTGGGCGAGGTCTGAGCTTTATTGGATCTCTGACTGTAACATGTGAGGAAGGGAAGTGGTCCCAAATGCCAGAATGCAAAGGTATTTTAATTTCCTATTTCTAAAATAGCCTAGTAGTGAGGATATTGTTGGAATCAAAAATATCACTCTCAGTCAGAAGTGCGTATTTCCTTGTTTTTCTGTCGTCTTATAATGCACAAATATAATATCTCTTGCAAACAAACCAGAGACAAAATCAATTTCCAGTCTGTGATGTTCCATGCAAGTTCTGAGTAAAGGGTGAGAGGCAAATTTTGTTACCCCTGCTCATACTGAATAGTTAACACTGACTTTGATGAACCTAGTCCAATATTAGGATTTGACCCATGACATAATGTGAATATGAATGGTTGACTGTTCTCTATTTCTGATTTTTAAGTGCGCAGTTTCACTGCCACTTGCAGATGAGCTAGACAATTGGTGAAAATGCCCACTCCTTTGAAGTCAGTGGAAAAATTCCACTGATTGCAATAGAAACAGGATTTCACCACGTATCTTCAAGCTTCCAGAAAAAAAGTGGTGTCACTCTACTGGCTCATTTTGTTTATCTTTTCATATACCAGAATTTCATTGGCACAGCAATAAGGGTGGCATAATCAAGGTCATATTATTACCAAGCCATAGCACAGGTTTAGAATAAGAACAATGCAGAGAAAATAGATGAACTAATATCCGCTTTCGTTATGGTCGATTGTGGTCCCTATATAAGATACTGTTTCTCTGAATTCTCCCTCTGAAAGAGTCTTACTTTCACTCTTACCTGAGCCTCTCAGTTTTCCCTATCTCAGCCTTACTGACCTTTTAGCAGAACAAGATAAAGCAGAGAGCAAAATCAAAACAATATGAAACAATTACAAATTTAAAAATCTTGAAGCAAACTAAAATGATCAGAGCCAACGTTATTGGTATTTATGGACAAAAACTTCTGTCTTAGGTTATACACCATTAAATACACAGTTCAGTCACATCATTAAGATAATGCAACCAGGTGAAAACATATTAAAAGACTGAACAAACAGCCTATTGTGTCTAACAACTAAAACCACCCAACTCCCCTCAACCACCCTTGAGAGCTTGAGTGACTAGCTGGTATGGTACAGCATCCTCAGAAGATATGGAGAAAAACAATATTCAGCTGAAATGGAAGTTGGAAATTAAATTGGATTCTATAAGTGGAGACTCTGTTGAATTTGACTGTAAAAGGGAACATGTGAGGGATCCATGATCTTCTCCATTTAGAGTACAGTGTGTGGAGGGGAAATTGGCATATCCTAAATGTAAGAGAAGAGGTAAGTGATCTCCAGTAAATGACAGTATTGGTAAATTACCTGTCTCAAAGATGTATTAATTTTTACTAGGAAATTCTCAGATTTAAAAAATACTATGGCACAATTGTGATGGGTACCATAGAAACATGTTGGAAATCATGCTTCCTGACTCAGACAGCTTACAATCTAAATCAAACACAAATGGTGGATTAAAGAGATTCACTGGTTACTTTGCTTGTGAGCACTATTACTTGAGCTGGGACAATCTTCCTTTGACATCTGAGCCTGTTTAGGTTACCAACAGAGGAGAAAAGTTTTGTAAGTTTTCTTGTCTTACTCAAGTTCTCTAGCTGGTCCAATTCCTCATTCAGATAGCTGACTTCCACTGCAGTCTGCACTCATTTGCTTTCCCTCTGAAACTGATTTTTTTAGCTCCTAAAGTCAAGTCCTTGCTGGATCTCGTCACTGTTAGCAAGCTCCATGTTGGAGAAAGATTTAATGATCTCTTCGAGTTACTGGGAAACCTTCTATCCATGAGGGTCAGTTTGCTGGTCCTCTCAATTATCTGTCTCGCCATGTTACACTGGGAGTGTTGCAGCTGGGTTTCTCAATCTGCCTAGAAACTTTGTAGCTGCTGACCCAACAAATATTTTCTCTCAGACTGTGAGTCATCTCTCATACCTTTCTGGGAAACCACCAAATGTTGCTTCAATTTCCTTAGTGAAGACTTCAACTCCTGTTTCAGGTCTTGTTTTAATTCCCTTGACCTTCTTTGATGTAACCTTTTTTAGCCTGAGTGGTTAGCCAATAGTCAGGGTCTTCCAACTTCTTTTTTGTGTTAAGAAGAGGAATAGGGGATAGAGTCCGGTTTTCTATGATGCAGCTTTTTTTATTTGAGTGTACACAAAGTCCTGTTCCTCTGAAGACAGGAGGATCAAACAGGAGGCAGTTTACTTGATCGCAATTCCAAGCCAGCCTTCACATTCAGCACTCTGTCCAAAAAATGCTTTCACAGTTTTTCTGCGGGGCTACTCTCTTCCAGGGCTTCTCTTGCTGTCCACTGGCTTTCCTGCAGCTTTCTGGCAACTTCTACCTCAGACATAAACAACTCCACCAATTAATCCTCAGCTCCTGTGTTTGTTCATCCCTATGGGCATGGGCAAAGCAACAAAAATTAAGGAGTGCGTGAGGGGGACACAGATTTGCCTTCTTCCTGACTGTCCTCTTCCCTTCTCACGCAGGCCACCAACACAACCACAACCAGCTGCTTAAGTGCCCTGGCCCATAAACTCCTAATCCCATCCCCTCCAAATCAGTGCCAGTGGCGTTGTGACCTGGCGCACAGGATCAAAGTGCTGATCAGGTCAGGACCAGTCAAAAAACAATCTGGCCACAGCCCAGGTACCCCCCACCCTGGCTTTATAGCCTATACCTAGTAAAATCCCTTGTATCAGCTGAGTGACACAGAGGGGCCAGATTGTAAAATCGAGTCACGGTGTGTGGGTCTCTCTGTAAAAATGGATATGTGAGGGATCCAACATCTTCTGCATTTAGAGTACAGTGTGTGGAGGGGAACTTGGCATATCTCTAAGTGTAAGAGAAGAGGTAAGTCACCACCAATTAAACTACAATATTGGTGAATCACCTGACTAAAATTTTGTAACTTATACTGAGAAATTCTAGGGTTTAAAAAAATAGAGAAGACAAATGGTGAGTTAAAGAGACAGAGGTAACAAGCAAAGTAACCTCTATATTACTTGAGCTGGAACCATCTCCCTTTGACATGTGGGCTTCTTTGGGATACCAACAGAGCAGAAAAGTTTTGTAAGTGTTCTTGTCTTACCCAAGTTCTCTGGCTGGCCCAATTCCTCATTCAGATAGCTGACTTCCATTGCGGTCTGCACTCATTTGCTTTCCCTCTGAAGCTGATTTTTTACCTCCTTTAGTCTTTGCTGGAGCTCATCACTGTTAACAAGAACCATATTGGGAAAAGCTTTCCTGATCTCCTCTAGTTACTGGGAAACCTTCTATTCATGAGGATCAGTTTCCTGGTCACCTCCTTTATCTGTCTTGCCATTCTAGACTGAGAAGCCCAGCGGCAAAATTCCCAATCTGCCTAGAGACTTTGTAGTTGCTGGCCCAACAAATATATTCTTTCAAATTGTGAATCATTTCTCATACCTTTCTGGGACACCACCAAATGTTCCTTTAATTTCTTTGGAGAAGTCTCCCACTCCTGTTTCAGGTCTTGTTTTAATTTCTTTTGACCTTTGATGTAACCCTTTTTGGCGTAAGCGGTTAGCCAGTACCCAGGGTTTTCCACCTCATTTTTTGTGTTTGGAAGAGAAATTGGGCTAGAGTCAGGTTTTCTATGAAGCAGTTTTTTTAATTTACAAAGAATGTAAACAAAGTCCTATTTCTCTGAATGCAAAATGAACAAACATCATGAGGCAGTTTCTTTGCTCACAGTTGTAAGCCTGCTTCACATTCAGCACTCTGTCCAAAAAATACTCTCACAGCTTTTCCTCACAGCCACTCTTCCAGGACTTCTCTTGCTGTTCACTGGCTTTCTGGCAGCTTCTGACTCAGGCACACACAGCTCCACCAATTAATCCCCAGCTCCTGTGTTTATCCATTCCTAAGGGCAGGAGCTGTGCAACGGTATTTAAGGTATGTGTGTGTGGGACATAGATTTGCCTCCCTCCTGACTCTCCTCTTCCTAGGTACCCCACCAGCAACACCACCACCAGGAGCCTAAGTGGCCTGGCCCATGAGCCCTTAGCCCCATCCTCTCCAAATCTGAGCCACTGGAATTGTGGCCTGGCACACAGGATAACAGTGATATCAGGTTTTGCCAAGTCAAAAAGCAATCAGGTCACAGCCCTGGTCCCCCTGCTTTCAGCTTCACAGCCTATACCTCAGTAAACGTCTTGCATCAGCTGAGTGACACAGAGGGGCCAGATTGTAAAATAGAACCAGAGTCTGTGGGTCTCCCTGTGCTCATCTGGTCCCAGCTTCCAGCAGACTGTTCCTTTATACAATATGATTATCATCGGTGATCCCTCGATTTGAGGATGATCTCTACCATGGATTTACATATGGGTCCTGAGATGACTGGAACCACAGATCTGCCCACAGTCGGTACTGACATTTCCTGACAGGTCAGCTGCCTGCTGGGAGACAGTTTTCTTCTGTCTCTCATTTCAGTTTGAGGGCAAAGCACTTCTCCTCAAAGCGGGCCACTGCCTGATGGAGGATGTGGCACCATTGTACTTGATTGGTGGCCTGCTCCTCCCAGCTTGTGATGTCCACATCCGTTTTCTTGAGATACACTTCTAGTGTTTCTTTGTAGCACTTCCTCTGACCACCACAAGATCTCTGACCATACTGAGATTCTGTGGTGCTGAGAATAGAGGGCTTGTTTTGGTAGGTGAGAATCTGGCATCCACACACAATGTCCAGCCCAGCAGAGTTGGTGGATAAGGGTCATTGCTTCAATGCTGGTGAATTGGCTTCAGTGAGGATGTTGGTATTAAAGTGGCAATCTTCCCACTTGATATGAAGGATCTTTCAGAGGCATCGTTGGTGGTTCCTCTGAAAACTCTTGAGGTGCTGTCGATAACCCAGGTTTTGCATCCATAGAGGAGTGTAGGCATGACAACTGTCTTATAGACCTGAATCTTGGTGTTCTTCCATAGGTCATGGTCCGTGAAAATGCACCAGAGCAGTTTCCCAAAGGAGGCACTTGTACACTGGATCCTGTGCTGGATCTCACTGGCATTTTTGCATTTAGAGAGTGTTGGCTACTGAGGTAGGAGAAGTGCTCAACTATCTCCAAAGTCTGTCTCTCGATGGTGATTTGTGGTGGATCATGTGCAAGGCCAGAAAGCAAACTGATGGAGCACTTTAGTCTTCTCGATATTAAGTGAGAGTCCTAGGCTTCAGTAAGCTTGTTCAAAAAAATGTAGTGTGGACTGAAGGTGTGAATTCTCAGTGTGTGTGTAAGAATGGTACAGTCATCAGCATACTGAAGATCAATAATGGACACCTGGAGGACTTTAGACTTTGAGCAGAGACGTCTAAGATTAAAAAGCCACCCATCCATTCTGTATTGAACGTCAGTTCCAGTGAGGGAGGTGGTCTTTAACAAGGACCAGAGTGACTGCTAAATAGATGGAGAGCAGGGTTGGGGCAATAACGCATCCTTGTTTAACCACAGTTTTGATGATGAAAGGGTCAGTCTCCAAGTCATTACAGAGAACAGTGGCAGTCATCTGATTGTGAAGAAGCCTTAGGACCCTAATAAATTTTGGAGGGCAACCAAATCTGGCCAGCAGCTTCTCTCTCTATTCATTTAGTCCCAGTCACCACTCTTTTCCTTCACACAGTATGACCCCGGTTGGTGTGAAAGCCTCCCTTTCTAGAGTTCCTTCTTGTTCTCTCAACCTTACCCTCTCTTTTTTACGTTTCAAAACTTATCAGAAAATATTTTGCAATTTTAATGAGCTAAGTAAAGCCTTTTTAGACAGGGTCAGACTCAGTACAGTTAGTGAACCAAATTTCCAATGACAGATCAACATGTACATGCTTAAATTATATTTTTCTATTTCCAGAGTTATGTATAACATCCCCAGAAGATATGGAGAAAAACAATATTGGGCTGAAATGGAGCTTGGAATTTAGACTGAATTTAGAAAGTGGAGACTTTGTTGAATTTGGCTGTAAAAATGGATATGTGAGGGATCCAACATCTTCTGCATTTAGAGTAAAGTGTGTGGAGGGGAAATTGGCATATCCTAAGTGTAAGAGAAGAGGTAAGTGATCTCCAATTAAACTACAATACTGGTGAATCACTTGACTAAAACATGTTAATTTTTACTGGGGATTTCTCCCGTTTAAAAAATACAATGGCACCATTGTGATGGGTGCCATAAAAACATGTGGGAAATCATGGTTCCTGACCCAGACAGCTTGCAATCTAAATAAAGAAGACAAATGGTAGGTTAAAGAGATTCACTGGTTACTTTGCTTGTGAGCACTATTACTTGAGCTGGGACAATCTTCCTTTGACATCTGAGCCTGTTTAGGTTACCAACAGAGCAGAAAAGTTTTGTAAGTGTTCTTGTCTTACTCAAGTTCTCTAGCTGGCCCAATTCCTCATTCAGGCAGCTGACTTCCATTGTGGTCTACGCTCCTTTTGATTTCCCTCTCATGCTGATTTTTGTAGCTCTTTAATTCCTTGCTGGAGCTCATCGCTGCTAACATGTTACATGGTGGGGAAAACTTTCCTGTTGTCCCATAGTTACTTTGAACCCTTCTGATCCATGAGAGTCAATTTACTAGTCACCTTATTTATCTGCCTTTCTATTTCAGACTGGGAATGTCACAGCCGGGCTTCTCAAGCTGCCCAGTGACTTCATATCTGCTGCTCCAAAAAATATTTTAACTCAGACTACGAATCATCTCTCATACCTTCATAGGAAAGCTCCCATTGCTGCTTCAATACCTTTTTACAAAATCTCCATCTCCTGTTTTAATTTCTTTTGCCCATCTTTGACTTTGCCCTTTTTGGCCTAAGTGTTTAGCCAATAGTCAGGGTCTTCTGCCTTGATTTGTGTGAGGAGGAAAAATGGAGGTAGAGACAGGTGTTTTCATGACACAATCCTTGTTTTTTACAAAGAATGTACATAACATCCTGTTTCTCTGAACAGTTGGATCAGACAACAGCAGGCTGTTTCCTTGCTCACAATCCAAGCCTACCTTTACATTCACTGTTCTGATCAAGGAGGTCTCCTTTGGATTTCTACCAGGCCATGCTATCAATTCTTCTCTTGCTGTCCACTGGTTCTCTGCAGCTTTCTGGCTGCTTCTTACTTACACTCACACACTTCCATCATTTAATCTGCAGCCCTCCTATTATCAGTCTCCAGAGAAGCCACTCAACCAGAAATGCATGAAAGTGCTTCTTCACTTAGCCTGAAGGCATGATAGTCATCTTTCATATCAACTTCACTGAGTATGTCTACACAGCAGTCTAAACCTGGTCTTGAGCCCTGGCTCAAGCCTAACCCCTCTTGTATCCACACAGCAATTGTGTTAACCAAGATCTCATACTTAAGGTGTCAGGACCCTGTAGTGCTAGGACTCAGGGATCAAGCCCTATTGCTTTCCTGTGTGCACATAGCCCCAGCTTGTCTCAGGTCCTGGAAGTCCTCTGGATGTATCCCAGAGTTCCTTGGGGAATCCCCCTCAGGGCTCTAGATGCCTATAATCTCTGGTGCTGCACTCTATTGCAAATGGAATCCACACCTGCCTTTGAAAATGGCAGCAGCTCAGATCAGCATTAACCCATTGCCTGCTGAACATCAGTCTGAAAGCACACCACCAGACAGCCTGCATGGTTTGCAGTGGAGAGTGATCAGAAGAAGCTTTTTGCAAAGACAGCTGCTTCATGGTGACAAGAGCACAGCCAGATTTTGGTGCACACTTCCTGGACACCCCTGCACACACAGCCCCAGGGAGGGCAAGGGAGGCCTGAGAGTGGAGTGGGGTCTCAGCAGCTGCCCTGCAGGGAGGAGGGGCAGCAGAGTTCCCAGCTCAATATAGCCAGGAAAGGGATGATCCTCCAACAATCTGGCCTCTCCCTGCTGTCAGGGCAGTGAGTGGGAGCCAGGCCCAAAAATTCCACACAGCCGCCTGGGGATCCCTCATCCCTGTCTCCCAGGGGGTACGGATAAGGGATCCCTGTGGAGCACACTGCACCCCAAGCACTGAGGATGCACTTTAACACTCTGCAGCCAGTGGCAGCCAGGCTGGGTTATATGTGTCTTTTTCCTTTGAATCCTGTATTTTATGTCAAACTTAAAAATGGACAAAAATAAATAAAGCCCAACCAAAACACGCACCTTCATTGACCATCCCATTTCAAAATTTAAGAATTGAAAAGTTTCATTTTAATAGTTCAATGGCCCAGGAGACTGGTTTCTGACTTATCCTCAGAATAGGTGTTCATGGGCATTTTCCTGCCCATGTGACTCAGCCTAGAGCTGGAGAGCCCATTTCTCAGATTAGATGGTAGCTTGGTAGAACATCTTTTCAAACTGCAGTCATTCTACTTAGACAGCCTAAAGACTAAAGGGGTTAATTATGCAGTGTATGTATTTATGTGCTCTGTATGGACACCTGAGTCCCATCGATAGCACCATCACAGTTAGGAAACTGGGTTGGTAGTAGTTTTCTCACAGTGCAACATATTCATAAGGCTAGAGTGTCGACACTGGGCGGTTGGACAGTGGGGAGGAGGTGCTAGGCACTCTGGGATAGGGTTATTTTGACTTGGGTCTGTGCACTGCGGTCTGAATGCCAGAGCCCTAGGTTCAAGCACAAGTCAGAAAATCCTTAACCTAGGGTTAAAATGCAGTGTAGACGCTCAAGCCGAGGGTTCCTTGACACAGGTCAGCTGATTTGAGTCTCAGTAACCCTAGGCTTACATTGCTGTGAAGAGACTACCCATAGATTAAAGACACACTTACTGTGAGCTAAGCAACCTCCAATACAACAATACTATCAAATCTATTGATGGAACAATCTATTTTGTCTTACATGATTCTAGTTATCCTGTCTTCTGCTATAGAAGATGTGTAATTGCTGATCTTTCTCCCATAATAGGCTTACTCCTATATTATTATGATAATTCCCACACCCCTGCTGATAATGTCTTTTGAGAAATGATGCCCCCTTTATAGCACTGGGGACAGTAGCAAATCATTTATGTATGTGTGTGTATGTGTATATATATATGTGTGTGTGTGTGTGTGTGTATATATGTGTGTGTATATATATATATATATGAATGAAGAGGGCTGCCTGGAAGAAGCTGATAAAGAGTTATAGGATGAAACAGGATAAAGATCCCTGCTTCAAAAAATCCATCACTTTCCAATGCTAGTAGCTACACACTGGATCCTGATAAAATACAGTAATATGTATGAAATCAATGCATGGTTTTCTATGCTGCTTTTAAGTTATATGTAACATGAAATACTTGTTTTTAATATGTACAGTAGTTGAACCACTGCAGTTCAGGAGTAAATGCAATTACTCTTGCTGGAGTTTGTTCCAGTGTGAATTTTAAGGAGTTGTGCTGAAATCAATATTCTGTTCCTGTGAGAGACCCATAGGGGATTTGTATGTCATATTTGTTTTAAAAAATTGATGTACTAAATTAATTTTCCAGTATTTGTTCTTTCTCTGACAGGTACTTATGAATGAATAAAAAGAAGCATCAAGCAAATAATTTTAACCCAGATCTGATGAGCAGAAGCCATTAACCAGTTATTTGTAATGTTCACACATTATGTCCTTTGTCAGCATTTTAACATAGATTGTCTGAACTGATACATGTAATTACTTCTTTTGTCACAATGTATATTAAACTAATCATAAAATAGTAACAACAGATGGGCAAAAAGGTTCAAACTACAGCTTTTTTTATGAAAATTGGAAAAGGAAGCTTTAAGGGAAATTGTACACTTGGCCGCACTTCCTGCTTGCTGAAACAGAAAGCAGCACTATTTCTCTCTGGCCCAGATCAGGAACTCCTGGAAGTCTCACTAGGAACCTTGATCTTGGGAGGCTTATAGCCCAATTGCTACATCCGGAGGTTTATTTATAGCTTGAGACTGTTTTGAGTTCCACCCATCCCTAATAGCAATTGGTCATCATTCTTTCAAATGTTTTAGTCCATGCAACCATAATGTTATCTAGACATCTAACACAGTTATATTCACTTCTCTGATGAAAATTTAAACTTATGATGTCTTTTTTTTCCCTTTTGAAAATTAAAGAGTTGTATATTTCATTTAGCAATTTTTAAAAAAATCTGTTGTTTGAGCGTGTTTTTTATTAATAACCCAACCTGAAGGCGAGTGAGAAGGAATTTTAGGATTTGTTGAAAAGAAGAGACAAAGATGAAAGCCTGCAGCCCATTGAATAGCAACATGATGCATACATTGGGTACCATGTGAATAAATTGACTATTCTTACCTTCTACTGTATGCAACAAACTAGAAGTTAGACCAGTGGTGTGACAGAGATGAACTTATCAGAATCCACATACGTGAGAATGACAAATTAATAAAGAGACAGTGAACACTGATGGGATGCTACATGTATAAACCACCTTCTAGACCTGGGGCAGCATACTCCTGCACTATAAAAGCTGAACAATGCTCCCCTTCCCCCCTCCCCCCCCGCCATTTCCCCAAAATTGTGTGGTGGCTGAAAAGTTTCACATTATTACACTGGTAATGTTACTGATCTCCCTAGCTCTCCTATTCAGCCGTTCCACTTTGTCTAAGAAATTAAGTAACTAAAATGTTCATTAGCACAGGGACTTGAACTTGGGACTCATATATATCAGGTGAATCGCTAACCACTGGGCCGTAGAGTCATTCTCAATGGCTCTGTAGCCCCCTGACTGTTTAATAGAAAATGGAATGGCTTCAACAGACACGATTGCGTTTTAGCTTTTTGATAAATGTTGTGTCCTCATGTAAACCCTCTTTTTTACATGTCAGGATATTTTCAGTGTTCATCTGTGGCAGAGCTAAGAGGAAGCATTTAGTCTGGGACAGCGTCACACTGATATTGCTGCTGTTCCTGAATGGCTCACACTAAGAAAGATTTTTACTACTTGAAATCTACATGGCTAGTTTTGATGGCAATGGCACGACCTATGCTTAAAGACGCTTTGCTGGAGGGTGGCCTCAGATCCTAGTATTTTCTGAGAAGTTTGGCAATTGTCTTCCCCTGC